GAGCGTTTTCCTGGCCAGATGCACTGGGAGTTTGGGAGCAAACCCGTAAGCCTTGCTAGCCTCCCTGAATCTGTAGGCTTCTTCCCCTGCAATGGCAGCCTTGCAGCTACGCTGGTCCAAACGCAAGCGCAGCTGCTCTGAGCAGCAAGAAGTTGCTGCCCTCTGGCGGACGCAGAGGGCACTACACAGAGCAGGGAATCCATCTCCCCAACCCTGTCCAGACTGGCAAATGTTCTCTTAGGGACTTGGAAATATCCACCTGTCCGCCTAACAAAATATGAAAATTTCTCAATGCCTGCACCTTGCTGCTTTTACCTGGGAGAACTTCTTTTCCCAGGGAAGGTCGGCTCTGCCCTGAGAGATAATCTGGGCACATGATTTCCTTGTTCCCCTTCCTGACATCCAGGCAAGGAGATTGGAAGTCTATGCCATCAAAGTTCCATGTGGGTGAGGGGGAACCCGTAGGTCAGTGCACAGATCTTGGGTTTCCAACTCCAGGCTGAACCCTTACTAGCCTCAGGAACCCTGAGCCTCGCCGTCGTCATTATTGATAAAGCAGTAACCTTTTCCATAGAGTTTAACGGTTTTTAAAGAAATGGATTTAATTGCCTCTATAGGTTCCTTTCTGCAAGATAGATGAGCCCAATTTATAAACAAGAAAACCGAAGTTTAGCGATGCCCTCGGGAACTGGTACTGGGTGGCAAGTTTGGTGGGAGGTAGATCCTGGAGGAACCCAGGTCTCCCGATGTCAACTCTAGGACTCTGAGTTGGCCATCTCCACTCCCTGAGGGGACTCTGAGTCCATCTGAACCCGGAGACAGTGTAGGACCTTTTCTGGGAACAGATCTCGAGACTACTGCTCTGGGCAGGACCTGTACTTCCCACAGCTGCATGGAGCCTGGGACGCCCTGGCTCCATTGCTTCTCCAAACTGCCTGGCAGCCTTTGCTGCTGCTGCTGGCTTCACACAGAGGGACAGTCAACCAGGTGGTTGGGAGAAAGTTGATTGCTTCTGTGGCCTGGGGCAAGTCCCCGCCCTTCCCTGAGTTTCATTGCCGTCACCATCATCACCATCATTGTTTCTCATAACATTCGTTGAGAGTTTGCTCCTTGTCCAGCATTATTGTTAAGTGCTTCATATGCATTACCTAATTTATTCCTCAGAACAAAGCGAAGAGGGAGGTCCCACCATTAGTGCATTTTACATGTGTGCACTTCTAACAGGAGGTGGGCCAGAAACTATTCCAGGTCTGTCTGACCCTCACGTCCTTGCTCTTAACCACTGTACTATTGTGCAAATACAAGTTATTCTTATGTCAACTGCAGGGTGACTTAATAGGTGTTAAGATGACGAGCAGCCAGCAGGGTCAGTGTCAGCATGGCTGGGACACGGGCAGGTGGGGCTGTGGTTGGTCAATTTCCACCCTCCTTTCCTGGCACCGTGTATAACACTGGCTCCATCCTCACCCTCAGGCCTCCTCTGAGCCCGAAGGATAAATGGCACCTTTTAAGAGTATCCCCTGAGAACCTGAAGACCTACCAGACGTTCCCATCAGGGAAGAGGGTCTCCCCACAGGAGCGGCAGAAGAGAGACTCCTACTTTGAGTTCAGAGCGTGACACCATGGCCCTGACCACGTTGGCTCTTTGGAATAAAATCTGTAGCCATGACTATCCCATGCTCCTCTCCTCTGAGCCCGAAGAGCATTCGGCTACATCAGGACTACCCCTGAGGGTAGCACCATACTGTGTCTTAAGGGCTGTGGAAAGCTCAGCCCAAGGGGTTCGAGCCAAGAAAAAGCAGTGTCCAGCGACTCATTTGGCTCACCCACCTCCCCCAAGGTGGCAGAGCTAGAAGGGAGGACTGTAGGGCTCCTGAGTCTTGGTGGCAGGTTGCCCAGGTACAGAGATAACCTTCCATCTGCTTCCGCTGGTATAATTGAGGAAGCCCTATTATCCTGCATCTGAGAATGAGGGCAAAGTGACCCCAGAACAATTGCGCTGCATGTCATATGCAAAGGAATTCCCATTTGTGCTCTGGCTCAGCATTATTCAGTCCAGACACGAAGCTATAACAGAAGTGGTGCTGTTGATGAAGACACCAAGGCTCACAGCCGTTGAGAAAGTCGCTTAAGCTCACACAGTTAGGATTTGAATCCAGGTCTTCCTGACTCCTAAGCCTTGGTTTTTCTACTGCACATCTTGCTTGTGGTCCATGTAGAAACTGTGGGGCCACCAACCGAGGGATGACACAGCCCTGGGGACCCTGAAGGACCCTGTGCTGTCTGGAAGAAGTGTCCCTTCCTGCATTCTGCCCAGACCGACGTGGACAAGCTGGTTTGGCATTTTCCCTTGGAACTGTTTCTAGAAGGGGGCAGGAGGCAGTGACCCAGGACTAAGCCACTCTTCAAGGAAAATCTATGTTTCAGGAGACTCTAGGCCAGAAGTGGCCACTGGGAATGGTTTTCGAGGTCACATGCCTGAGGTGGCCTGCAAGGGCCAGGTCTGGAGCATCTGTTCTCACCAGGCTGATGCTTCTTCACACTGGAACAGGGGACAGGATGCTGGGGACAGCTCCTCCATGAACAGGATTTTTATCCACAATGTCTTTATCAACAACACCACTTTCGTTATAGCTTAGGCATGGGGACCCTAGGCCAGGTGTACACCTACACCACAGGAATTCTCCAGCATCCAGTGCCTCCCGGGTTTGATCAAGGGACTCCATCCAGCAACAGGACCTTTATTACCCGCTAAAAGCAGGGGGACCACTGTAGGTTCAAGTACACATGAGGATGAAACAACCTTTCCCCTGTGAGCCAGCATTTAGGCCCCTCCCCCCAGGACAATGTAAGTAAGAAAAACCATGTGCCCATCACATAGGCATCTGACAGTTCTCAGAGACCTCCATAAGGGGCTTCTCCTATGTCCCCGAGTATCTGACCAGCTGGACCTGTAAGGGTCCCTATGGGGGCCAAATTCATTCCAGGGCTTAACCAAACAACCAAGCAAATAAACTCTGATTGCCGGTCATATACTGTCACATCCCGAGGGCCTGGTGGTGCTAAGTGGGGACAAAAATGTCTAGGGCTAGGAAGCCAGGCGCCAAATGGAATGACCGCTACAAACACCCTTCTGTACAAGCTGCACTGGGAGATGCTGGAGAGGGGCTGGGGGCGGGGGTGCAGGCCCCAGTGAAGGAAGGGAAGAACATATATTTTCCTGGGGAACCTCATCCCTTTGGCTTGATCCCTGCTGTGATGTGGTTTGGGATTTGAACCCTGCTCTTGAAAAGACTGGCCATTCCAGCTTGCTTGATGTCATCGGCAAACTTAAGCCCTGGAATGAGCAGTTCTCAATTTAAAAAATGCTTCTATATGACCCTGCATTCAAAATATGATGAACCGATGGGGCAAAGAAGAGGCTTTTCTTTTGCTTTATTGAATAAACAATATTCTAGAAGTGAGGGAGGACAAAGATAAAGTCATACTTCTAATCACCGTCCTCTGGTGCCTGGATGGGATTGGATTCCAAGTTCCAGTGGTCCCCATGAGGTCGCCAGGTCAAGTATTGGTGGCCACATCAACATCCCCAGAAGTGAATTCGAAAGGAGCTGAAAGAAAGTCCATGAGCCCCCCTGAGCCTGCAAGTCTAAAGCGCCCTGACTTCCGAGTTCGCTGTAGTCCTAGAGGCTCCCTCCCTCGCCCACCTCTCATTGACTCCTCATCCGCCTCTCGTGTCCCTTTCTCGGAGTAATGGCCAATTTGCACCTCTCCCAAGCCAACCCAAAGCCTTCTTTAAGCAACTTTTAGCATCATTGGAACGTAAAGGGTAGTAGAACCGTGTGGTGCCGGAACTCATGAAGAGAAATATGAGAAACGCAGAGAAAAAGTCAAGGAGGACAGGATTCTGGCCTCGATTGTGTGCTGGGCTATTGCGGAAGAAGAGGAATTACCCTTGGTTGGAGTGGTCCCAGGTGTGGACCCTGTTACAGAGAATCTGCCTCAGCCACGGCCCCCTGGCGGCCTTGCTGGAGTGGAGAACCCTCTCTCTCATCCAGGTGTTTGAAAGGCGGGTAGACACCTGACCCAGGCTGGGCCAATCAGATTCTCTCTCTGAAAATCTGAAGTCAGAGCTGAAGGACATTACTCAGGAGTCCCTGACTGAGGGTCATTCAGAGCCAAGAAGAAGGAAGCTTGACCACTGTGGGGCGGCCACATATGGCCCCGTGTCTGACAAAGCAGAGATTGCTGGTTTGCACACAGAGCTAAGTACGGAGCTGCTGAGGAGAGAGGCAGAGACTCTGGGCCCTGAGCTATCCCGGGTTCCCGACCCAGTGCTCTCTGAGGTCTAGGTGCCTTTGTTCTTTTTTGACTGGTTTGTTAAATCATTTTGAATGGCATTCTTTGAATTGCCATCAAAACTGCATAGACTATGAGACCACTCCTGAGACTAGGTCCCAGGAGTAGCAGACACATACAAAAAATGCCAGCTCATCACCACAGGGGTGATGGATCGTGACATGGGCTGCCCCTAGGCGTGGGGCAACCCCATAACTGGAAGGCTCCAAATGAGACTGTTAAACACATCAGAGGAACATGGAGGTGCCCATCATCTCAAGGATATTTGGACCAGATAAGATCATTAAGGCCTCTTTCTGCCCGAAACGAGGTTTGGAAAGGATTGAGTTCTCTGGGCTCCACCACCAGCATCTTCACACCTCTCATCCCCCAGGCAAATAAATCTGCATCTCCTAATAACCCCTGGAGGCTGTCGGGGGAGGGGAGAGGACTAGCGGAGGCAAAGGCAACTCCCCAGGCCTGGGCATTGGGAGCAGCACAGGTATGCTGGCTGGAGAGGGGCAGCACCTGAAGTTTGGACCACCCACATTGCTTGCAAAGCCTGGAATGCAATCCTGCTCTGGCCTTTCAAAACCCTACTCCTGGCTTCTTTCTAGGTTACCTCATTTCTCAGAAGCTCCAGTTTTGCTGATTCTGAAAGAATCTGCAAAGCGCCCTGGAAACTCACGGGACCCCTTTGGGAAGACCGATGTGCCCCATTGGCCAAGCGGAGACTGGGGAGCCCTTCCTGCCCCCTACTATGCTGGGAATATCCCATATCCCACCCACCCCCACTCCAGACCACCTTACCTCATGAAGTCTGGAGCCTTGGCCATCGCATGTTCGAACTCGGAGAAAGACAGCATGTTGTCATTGTCCAGATCTAACTCGTTCAGGACCTGGCCAGGAGTGCAGAACCAACAGAACAGCGAGGCGTTGGGTGTGAGAAAGGGAGGTGGGGGCTCGGGATGGGGAGAAGTACCACACGCCGAGTGCTACCATAGGCCAGGCTGTCTGCCAGGCGCTTAGCACACATACCAGTGACCCCCCAGCCCCCCGCGGGGCAGGCGATCTCCTCCCACTGCCACTCCCACCCCAGACGAGGACATCGAGGTGCAGAGAGATGAGGTCATGTGCGCTGAGGTCTGGGCCTTGTGGGCCAGTCTCACTTTGGGAAGAGTCTCCTTGGACTGTGGGGCCCAGTCAGGTTGAGGAGGCAGCGATGACTCCCCATGGTTTTAGCTTTGCTTCTAGTTCCCATCCAGACCAGAAACCCTTGAAGATTTTCATGGTCTTAGAACAAATGGATCGATGCCCTGCTGGGTTCACAAGGCTGTTTTCGTGTCCTGTGACACTTTGGACTGTCCCTCCAAGACATCTGGCCATTGTGTTGTGCTGGGATAATGTGGGAAAGGAGACGTTGTGACATGTCCATCTGATGCCAAGCTGCTGTTGGGCCACCTGCCTGCAGTGTGGGTGGGAGGGACTTGGTGGGTGGCTTGGGCACACTGCTGTGGGAACCCTGAAAGGGAGTCATGGAAGCAAGTCATGATCTGGAGGAAAGACAGACAGGTGGGACATAGTTGCTTCCGGCCATGTGCCCATCCCTCAGGGCACCTCGCCCTGCCTGCCATCCGGGTGTTTGGGCGACGGCTCGGCCCACCCCAGCCCGAACGGGCCCAGGCACACACGTGGCTCGTGAGGTCGGTCAGCAGGTCCTCGGACACGTCATCGCTGTTGAGCAGTCGGAGGACAATCCTCTGCAGGTCCTCCTCGTCAATGAAGCCATTCTCATTAAAATCTGCAAAGAAGAGGCACCAGCCAGGACCCCACAGATTCCTGTCAGCTTCTGGGATGCCCTGTAGAACCCAGCTGTCCCAGGTGGGCTTAGAACCTGGCACTCGGTGAGACCTGGGCAGGCCTGAGGAGCGGGGAGCTAGGGCAGCAGGGCAGGCTGCCGACGAGGGTGGCGCTTAATAACGTGATTGACAACAACAATAACAAGCAGCAGCATTGATTGAATGTGTACTCCCAGTTCAAATCTGTCCTGAGAATTTCCCCTTGTTTTAAGTCACCGTATCTTCACAATCAACCTTTTATTAGTCTCACTTTTCTAAAGGGAAACTGAGGCACAGAGGTAATATGGTTGTCCACACTGTCAGTAAGTGGAAAGGTGGGGATTCAGACCCAGCTAGGCCGGTCCCCGAGCTCTGTGTCAACAACAGAATTATGGAAACGTCAGTAGGTCTTTAGGTGGCTAGGAGCAGGTCAGCATGGAAG